ATTTACCCATCACCAGGCTAACATCTATATCATTCCTTAAGGTGGTTCTGATGTATACGGCTGCACCAAATCCAACCTCAGAGGCATCAGAAAAAACATGGAAGTCAATTATATCATGATTTCTCGACGGCTTAAGTGGACGTGAGACGGAATGTAGATTCAGCATTCTTAAACTGTTAACCCACCCCTTCCACTCTTCTCTCTGCCTCTCACTTAATGGTTCATCCCACTGTAACCCTTTCCTGCATGTCTCTTGAAATAACCTCCTAGCCGGAAGTAGATAAGGTGCTACTAATCCAAGTGGGTCAAACACGGACGACAACACAGAGAGCACACCTCTCCGAGTAACTGGCTTATCAATATCACCAACACTAAATCCAAAGGTATCAGAGTTCACATCCCATCGCATACCTAATGTGCGTTCAACTGGTAGAGTATCAACAGGCAAATCTCGTACGGTAGGTGCTCTGTCTTCTGGATCTATATGCTTCAAAACGTCTAGGCTGTTCGAGACCCACTTAGTTAGACGAAAGCCGGCCTTAGCTAACACTTCAGTAATGCTTGTTGCAAATCTAACTGCAGACTTATCATCATCGAAGGAGGCTAAACAATCATCCACGTAGAAGCAACAATCTATGACGTCCAGCAAATCATTAGAACCAAATGTGGACACTGCCTTTCGTAGAGCAAAATTAGCACAAAATGGGGAGGATGTGGCACCAAATGGATGCACTGTCATCCTATATTCTGACACCTTACCACAAGGACCGTCATCAAACCACAAAAACCTCAAGTGATCTCTGTCACTCTCTGGCACCTTCACCTGAAGGAACATTTCCTCAATATCCGCCGCGACAGCAACTGTAAACTTTCTGAATCTCAATAGCAGTCCCACTAATGAGCTCACGCAATCTGGGCCACTATACAGATTATCATTTAAAGAGACTCCTTCGTGTTTCGCAGAACAATCAAACACCACACGGAGTTTACCTGGCTTCCTCGGGTTAAAGACGGGATGATGGGGCAAATACCACTTCCCTGGCTCACTTTGATCAACTAGTCTTTCAACGTAACCCTTCACTATATGTTTATCGACGACTTCCTTATATTTGGACCAGAGTTCTGCATCTGACAGGAATTTCTTCTGTAAACCCATTAGTCTCTTAAGAGCAACTTTCCTATTACAAATCAACTGTCTATCTTTGAATCTCCATGGTAGGCCAACGCTGAAACGCCCGTTTTCGTATTTACAAGAGTCCTCGGCTATTTTAACTGCTTTCAAGTCTTCTACAGAACGACCTTTCCCTGGGACACCGCAGTCACAAAACTCCTTGTCATACATATTTTTAATCATAGTTTCTAGTTTGTCCCCATCGTTTGTAACTAATGATGATATGTGGACTATGGGTATAGGTCCTCTCACTGTCCATCCCAGTGGTGTTTTTGTCGCAAACAGATCATCTCTACCTCCAAATCTCTCTTCTAATACCTTGTGAGCTTCTGGCACACTACATCCAATGAGTACTCTCACTCTTCCATCTTGCAATGTTGGAAGAGGTATGTCACACAGGTACGGCTTACCGACAACCGTTTCACGACTAGGTACTATAGCTTCGCCAAGTTTCATACTGGAGGTAGTGTAAGCAGTATCCACTTCCACGGTCTCCCCAGTAGCCAAGGATTCTAACTGAAATGACACTCGCTCACATACTACTGTTTTCGCAGAATTGAAAGTATTTACAACCAAGGGTTGCTTTGGGCCTTTAATACCCAAGCAACCAGCCAGTTCAGCATCTATCAATGTAACGTCTGAACCATTATCCAACAATGCATAAGTCTCTACTGAAGATTTCGGTCCTTTCACCTTAACTGGTAATACCCCTAAGAAAACTTGTGGGATGTCAAGGGGTCTAGAGATACTATTACAATTAACCGAACTCCCAGGTTCGTTCACTGTTCTCAGAAGTGGGTGCATATCCGTTAAACCACTACTTCCTTTATTTGTCGCCTTACAATTCCACTTTGTATGCCCAATCTTTAAACAACTGAAACACAGCCGCTTCTGCTTTGCCATTTTTAACCTTTCTACGGGTGACATAGCGATAAAGCGATTACAATCACTCAATTGATGCATGTTATGGCAGACAATACACTCATCCTTTCTCGTTGTGTCTTGAGACTTCACCACAAATGCCTTCCTTATATTCACTGGTTCCTTAGGTTCTACCTTAGAATGCAAAATGCTGGCGAATTTGCCCATCGCCTGGTTGACACTGTCCTTCACCAGTCTAAGAATATCATCGAACCTTGGCTCGATACCCTCCTCCTCTATACGAGAGCTTATTTTTACCCATTTCCTTTGCAGCCGCGTAGGTAGGCGTCTTGCAATTACCTCTAGGACTGAGCTGGAGTTGAGGTCACTCATGAAATTCATAGAAATCAAGGTATTCTTGTAAGTCATAAGATTGTCTAAAAACTCAGTGAGTGCCTTGGAGTCATCTCGAAGTTGACTGCCATTACCCTTGACAGCTTCGTATACGTTCCTTACAATCATCGAAGGTCTTCCAAACCTTTGACGTAATATGCTCATAGCCTCAGCGTATCCCTCATTAGGGGGCATGAGCTTACAGCACTGTATAGCTCTTGAAGCATCTCCAGTGCAATACCTCATCAAATACATCAATTTCAATTCATCACTTAATGAAAAACTACTCAGCATGATCTCAAACTCCTTTACAAATTGTAAATAATCGGCCGGGTTTCCATCAAAACACCGTGGTTCAAACTTAGGGAGTTTGATGTTCCTATTATCCCTGAACGGCGAAACAGTAACATCAACCATGTCATGCTTAACATCAGACACATCGTTACAATTAACAGACAAGTCACCATGACTTACTTTCCTGTTTGTATCCAAGACACTCTGTCCCTTCTTTGACCCAGGCATTGTTGAACTTGACCCAATTCCAAAAAGTTCCAGATATTGCTTGTTCAAAGAGGACTTGACCGGCACCAGGAAAGATGAACGGCGACTATCCAAACTTTCACCAACTGTTTGAATCCGCCAGATCTGTTTCTATCGTCAGAAACTGTCAGTCACGTCTCATAAACCGTTAATGCCCAGCTCTCGCTACGCTCGGGCCCACGCTGTTCCTTGAAGTTTCAGAAACGCTTAGTAATAACGGACGCAAAAACCAAAACACCGATCTGCCGCTTGTTATTTCTTTATTGTTACACCAACATATAAAAGGAATAAACGAACTAAGGTCTGTGAACAAATATTACAATAATAAATCGTTATATTACTTCTGACGATGTTTCACTCTTCTTTCTGAACAGCGACCGATGAGACGATGACTGTCGTATTGATGCCTCCGCGAAAATTGGGGAAGTTGATTTTGAGCAAACAACCAAGAATTGATCGTTCAATCTTCAACTCCATTGACAGCTTCATTCGACGAGAAGTCGATGGCACTTTCAAACTGTTTTGCATTTTCCTAGTCAATATGAAATTATTCAGACTTCATGTTAAACAGTTTTAGAATAGTAAGGTCCCCTAGTCCTCTTTTGTCTTGCGAGATGGTTTCAGGTGTGAATTTAACTAGGGCTAATTTTGTTCAGAATTCATTTATTTGCAACTGCATGTTGTTTGTGATGCAGTTTTAATAAGAAGGCTCTGTCTTTTCCGACAGAACATATTATACCTGTATTTCAGGGGTCAGTATTATGTCTCAGCAATTTATTTAGGTGAACTACTAATAATAACCGATTTGCGGGACGGTAATGCGTTACTGGAAGAGCTGATAACATTTTCTAGGTTACTGGTATTGCCGCAAACACGTGCTTTTCACAGTTTTGGTTCATTATCATTAAATATTTTAAAATAGGAGGCGATAAATAAACATTAGTGAAAACACGTGCAAAAGTGCTACCAAATTCAGCTTTAGTACCGAACGTGAAAACTAACAGTGTTATTAGGTAAGCCGACATTTTCGGTTCAGTTAAGATGCCCCTGAAGCCCATGTCACCTCAGGTAATCCATTTTTCACTGCTTGTTAGCTGTTCTATAATCACAGATTTGAAGGAAGATTATCTCATGTGATCGGTGTTTAACACTCCCATAATGTGTGGGATTGTTCGTTGCAAGAAGTTGTGGTCTTTAATTCTTATAACTAGTAAATACCCCATTAACCTGGATATGTTCCTATATGTATCAGTACCCCTTTCATTTGTTCAGCCTATCCCTCCAAGAGGTTGGGTGAGTCAGGCCGAGGAGTCAGCCAGTTGTGTGATGGTCAGTGTTCTAAAAATCACGCAGGCGATAAAACTAGCATCCTAGAGTTAATCAGCCCAGTATGATAAATTTTGACTATGCGTAAATTGGATTATCAACAGACGACTAGGCAAGAAATATGTTTACTTCTGATTGAAGTTGTATATATCACCAAGGGATTCCAACGTAGTGAAAAGTACCTGGCAGTTAGCTTCTTCTGAAGGATCCAAGTACTTTGTATACCGGTTTTCCTGAGCTACAAATTCTACAGCAGCACCGCTGCTTAATACATTGTGGCACGTTGTATTGTATCTAATACCCTGAATGAAGTTAAGTGTTCACCAGAAATCAAAATTGAAAATTTTATTAGCCAGTGAGTGAGAAATTCTAACAAGGAAGCAATAATTTTTTGGAAGAACAACTAAGTGTCAAATGCTTAATGAAGCCTCCAGACCATAACCAGAAATTCGACACAAGATATTTGCATCTTGAGACTGCATTACGGAGAAGTCTACTGAAGAAATTTTCACATGTCCTTCGGAAGACACCACTAATTCATAATAACGAACTGAATGTAAATAAAACAATACCGAATAGACTCGGAGCTTATGAAGTGCATGACCCTACAATGGTACTGCGTGCGAACTGTACTTTTGAGAATTTATCCTTCGATTTAGACATTTTGCGACATTAAAAAACTGTTTTAATTATTCTTTAGCCGGTCAATCCTATATTGAGAAATGAAGTATACTTCACAGTTGTTTATCTGACTATTAATATACACGTAGTCTCCTCTCAGCCAATCAGATCTCGTAGCGATCGTCAGCCATCTTGATTTGTCTACCACTGTTCAGCCATTGTTGTCAGGTCAGTTGTGTTTATGGCTGTTTGGTGTGCGCTCGTAACGCTCTGGTCTTACGCACTTTTCTACTATGCGCAGTGAAAAATACGGAATGGTTGTACATCAGAGTTGTTTTATATGCTTTACGTTGTCTAAATTTCTTGTTTTTTGATTGTACTTGTCTTAATGTTAATTGTAAGGGACCAGAACACCTAGGTTCTATCAGAATTATTACTTTCTATATTCGCTGTTGCCTGTTGTTTTTGAAGTAGTTCGTAATTCCTTTCTTGTCTTTTGGTTTCAGTTATGGTGGACGAACTTCATGTGCTTCAGAAGAGGATTAGGACACTCAGTGAATCCTCCAGGTATGATTTTAGCGACCATTTTATAATCTTGCGTTGTTCTTGCTCATCTGAATGTTTCCTTGACTTCTTTGTCTTTTCTGAGCTCTCAGACATACTCCCGCTAACCTTCTCATGATTTTCGTTGTCTGTTTCTAACATTCTTATTTCTACTTACTTATAAATGCTCGCTTCCTCATTTATACGAGTTAGGGGCTTCATCACTTGATACTTAGTGTGGTGCATGCGTTGTTTTCCTTGCGCGAGTGGGTTTCTGTGAGATGTTTCTCTAGTGGACAACTTTCCTTTTTCCTGACTGTAGTGTTGGAAATTCTAGTTCCTAGGGAGTTTCAGTGAGCAAATGCATGAATCTTAAAATGCTTCCCGATTGTTTTTACTGCGAGAACTTCTAAAATTGCTAGTACTTATCCACTAACATAATACGTTGCAAACTAAATTACGACTCGTTGCTCATATAGAGTTCCTAAATTGTACATATATGCTCGAGAAAACTAGATAACTAAGTACACGATAGGTGACAGGTATTTGCTTAATCCCAAACTTAACGTCATTACCAGATACTTTTGGTTAATAAGGATTTCCATAAAACTTAAAAATTCAATAGGTATGAGTACGTAGCAGTGCGAATACTTTTTACTCACTGTTGATCTCATGGCGGTGACTCTTCACGGGGTTGCCGCTAAAAGGTGTTTTGAACTGGCGTTTTGCGTCTTGAACACCAGCCTATGACACAAACTTGGTATATTATCGGGTTCATCACTACGGGATTTCGGTGTAGTTTCCTGTTATAGTGGTGACGACCAGAGGTGTTTACACTAAGTATGGCTTCAATTTGAGATGACAGACTGGTTAGCGTAACGTCTGACCTCATCAACTGGACTAAAGCATGCCGGTGGTTGCTTTTTGTTTTTACATGGAATGTGTCATGCAGTATCTGTAAATCCTGGCATGCTTTAACATGCAGATAGGGAGCGTCGAAGCCCTGACTTTCATTTTCGTGCTTTAAACCAGTTTGTGGTTAACTTAAGTAGCATTCACTCTTTTTAGAGGCGTAGCAGTTGGAAGTTGCGTTGGTTGTATGTTTCATCGTGAAGATCAGCTATGCCTATTATGGGTGTGGGTAACGTCGAGGCGGCGCTTAGAGACCTGCTCAACTGGCACAGCATTGTCATTACACATGACTTTGTCCAATGATCTCACGAACAGAACGTCGCGCACGCCATGCAATACTTATCATTTATTCGGACAATGTAATATTAAGCCTTGTGAGTGTGCTTCTGTTTCTAGCCGTATCGGGTATTGTTAAAATAATCTTATTCCCCTACAAACAAGATGCTCATGCTAGTCTTCCGCTCTGTGGGGTATGCATAATGTGTGAGATAACGCCACTGGAGCTCACTGCAGGATTGAAGTATTTTAACCGGTTACGTTTTAGTATTGTGTTGATCTCATTGGTTTTGTGGTGTACCGGACTATACCCTATGTTCATTTTGTCTAGCTTAGCCAAATTTGGATAATTTGCGCATGAACTATGATTTATTAGTCTAATAAAATATTAATGCAAATAATCCTTTGTTAAAGTATGATAAGTTAATGGCTGCCCCTACTAAGGGATTCTGGAGATGATATTTTCCAACCCAGATGTACAAACATGCTTATTCGTTGCTTATTACAATCTAGTAATTAATTATCTTTGTGAATGTGTCACATGTTGATGAAAACTTCAGTCACTGCATCTTTTGCATTTCCATCATGGTTACGTAGTTTTATTTGATGGAGGTTCAGAGACTTATTTTGAAATTTCTTTTCTGTATCCTTCAATGTACATCAGTGTTCTGTTATTATATGTAATATTTTAATATTGAATACAATTTGTATTGCATATGTTCTATGTATTTTATACATCTGCTAAATCGGCGATGACGCCTTGACCATATGTTAATTGGAATACAATGCGATCCCATTTAGTGCAGGTTAAACGCCTGGTGTTTTATTACTAGTTGACATTTCAAGTCAAAATGAGGTAGCTGTGTGCAAACATGGATGTATATACGTATGGAGGTGCGGTTGAGTGGTGCGTTCATCTGCGTGCAGTCGATCTCTATAACAGAGCAAACATTTACTTTTTTTGTAAATATGTACACTAGTGCAGTAAGTGTTTAGGTAGTCTTAACATAAGCTCCAGCATGGCTTTTTATGCATCATTTAGACCACATGACCGTGAAGTTTCGACAGACTACATTTAGCGTTGAATTTCTGATTTGTAAGCTTCTAACACCCCGTTATCTGTATAAAAAGTTTATAAACACTGTCTTATTCGCCTACCTGAATCATCACTGCATGCATATCATTCCGAATAAATATATGTAATGTAGTCTGAATATGTTATCTTAGCGTGATGTGTTGAAACAGGTTCGTTACATTGCCAGGTAATCTAAGTTTGGCGTTGCAGGTTATCGTAAAGCGGTTTTAATAGGTATGTAATTTTGGGTTGGTGTTTTCAAAGACATCTATTAAAGTCAACATGTAGTGAATTCAGGAACTTACCACAGTCTATCTGCCAATCTCAAAAAGATTTGGACTGATAGCATCCACATGAACGTGCAAGTAAAAGTAATTTCCTCAGGGTTTTATCTGTGGATTGTTTGCGTTTATTGGTGAAAGGTAGTAACTGCATTTCAAGCAACTTTGACTGTCTTATTCTTGTTTCAGGCCACATCCTATGGTTATCAGTGGCCTGATTTGATGGTAATTAGCACCTGTCTTGTTAATCATATACGAGTTCCTACCTTAAGCTTTCAGTCAACATGTAGTTGTCTAGATTTCGATTAGTTAAGCGGAGTTGTTTAAGTAGTGACTCATGGTTATATATATATATATATATATATATACCTTGTCTTGCATTACATTACGTTTTATGTGGGAGTGTTTCATGTGTTTCGTTCGCATGCGTGAAATCCCCTTAAACATCTTACCTCTGCTAAGAACTTGACTTGGAGAAGGTGGAACAGGAAATCGTTGATGGACTGGCTGTAAACCAGTTCCCAGCAAGCTTCGAGCTCCTGAAATTAACATATTATATAACCTCCATGCTACTAACTGCGTTTTAGGTGCAGTCTAGAGAACTCCGCAAAAAATGAAGAACTTTATCGGTGCCAGCGGCTGTCCTGTTGTGTCTGTGGTGATTGTTATATACGATGCTCGGGATGCCTTGTAGCGTTTGAAGCATCTTATAGGTTTCCGTAATCACACTCTTAAGGAGATTGGACTCACCAGCATAGGTCATGGGATTCTAGGTTGTCCACATAACCACTAGCTGTTCATCAGATAAGTAATAAATTTCGGAGTGTGATATGAAAAAACGGAAATAATGTTGCAGTTAGAATAAAAGTGAGGTGAGTGGACATGCATCAGTACATCCTCTGCTGCATAACCTTGCTTAAGGTCGGTTTCCTGACGTAAATACTCCAGCTAGGCAGTTTACATTTCACGGGATAGCAGTTACTTCGCTGCCCACAAAGTTAATCGTATGGTAGAAGCGCATTGGTGTAGGCGATGAGATTTGTGGGGAATCCTAGCCACCGCACTTGATTGACATTTGTGATTTTCTCAAATGACTAGCTCTTCATACTTAAAACTATGTTCAGACTTAGAATTGCTCCCCCGGTGGTTTGCTGTTAGAAAAATCTACATAATGTAAGTGAAAAGTAGGTCTTATGTGTCCTTAAATGCCTAAGGTGTTCTTGAGCTTGTGTCGATACGTGTTCCTTGTGAGTAAAGTTACGTGTGGGCTAAGATCATGAACATGTAAGAGAAAAATAGGGCTAACAAAGCAATCTTATTAAAGGCATGCACTGATTTGTATTAGAAGTGTAAGGACTTCCTATACCACTCACCTATAAAAGTGGGACAGTGCTTTTCGGTGAGGTTAGTGCTTTTTGTGCAATTGAGTGTATAGTAGCGCATACAACTACTGTCGGGAGACTTCAGTCTTGCTGTCTTTTCTTATGTCTTTATGTGTGTACTCGCATCGCTTGTGATGTGGTCGACGTAACATTGTAGCTGACACAGAATAGTGATGGGTCGATTAGATGCAATGATACATAGCAACTTGATAATTGGCTGCAAATAGACAATTCCCGGTAGAGTCATAACTTCTAATTGATCAGTGACTACTCATTTCTCGTATTTTCGAGTCAGTAAGCCTCGTTCTACCTACTTAAACAAGCTTGAGGTAAACGCATACTACTCTGAATTAAAACGAGCTCGGACAACATGGTTTGGGCAGTTACTTCACAAGTTACATGTCATCTACAATTACTCGTGGACAGAATTTGGTGTCTATTCTCATATCCGACTTTTCTGTGAAGTGCACTGTCTGTTGCTTGAATCATTTTCTTCTGTTAGTCCTCACAAGTGCTCTTCGCGAACATAGTTGATTTCACTTCATGTACCACTTAACTGTTCATTTTTGTACGCTGAAATTCCTGGAGATTTTGATGATCAAGTACAGGCTTTTTTGCACTTGATAAGTAGTTTGCATGTGGAGCTGAAAGGAAGATTTCATTGATATGTTTGTACCTAATTTATAACCTCCGCAGTTTAACTTGAGCGTTCATGTATGCAGTAAGTACGCCTGGCATTTATTATTCTGTTTATCAAAGCATTCATTACGCATCGTACCACAGTAACTGACAGTATGTCCTAGTAGAACTCACTCCTATATGAAATGACATTGCAGCTGGACCTCATCAGCTTTAAAAGAAACGTCAAAGTACTAGTTAACCTTTATTTTATGTACAACCTGAAATTTAGAATCGGGTTTATCTGTTGCGTATACTGCGTTCATAGGGTATTCGCACTGTAGAATACGGTTTATTAAACTGCATTTTGGCTCAGTGAGGTTATTTTTGTGTGTATCGTATTGTCTATCCAACTCACCGACAGTTGGCGTAATTTAACTTTGCGCTGTTAAGTGCTGCTAACGTCATTCGACTTTACATCATGCAGAAAGCAAACTGCTGGTCATATTGAACTGTGCCGTCTGATTCAGATTCTTCGGAAGGTTTCGTGTCAGGAAACCATGAAATAAACAATAAGAGATTTGAGGATTCACGCGACTTCTGTGGAAAATGTTCGATGTCTTACTTTTTAAGTGCAGACTGATTCAGTTGTTATTTACGCTATGCCTGTTTCACTTGATATGGATTCTAAGTACGATTAGTACGCGTTTCAATTTGTTTTCATGATGCTGGTGATTAAGCATTGGCGTTATCTGACATGTTAAGTATTTTCAAATATAAGTGAACTAGGACGTAGACGTCTTTCTCAAAGCACTTGAATATTTTATAGTTCAGATAGTGCGCCTGTCTGCTAGACGCGTATTCAATACTTTGTCCTCTGTATTAAGATTAGCGACCAGTTTGTCAAAGCTGTTAATCCAATCCAAATCAACTTTGATTTATTGTATAGGATTCTAGATTCGTTTTTCAACAATAATGAACATTTAGTAGGTACTAACTGCTGGTTACTGCAAGACATCTGCTGACACCAATCAGTGGTTAACTAACGAAGATAGATAAGGAGCATCGGTGTTATATGTTCAAATAACCTAGACAGCGAACATGCATGGTTGTTACCAAACAGCATCGCTAACTGCGTTGTCCACTGATTCGTTACATCCTCTGTAGTTAGCAGCATTGTGGGATTTTACATCTGGCCGGTTGCAGAATCATGATTGATTGAGCCTTGTTTGTACACTTGCAACCTGATGGTTGTCTAAGTTGGAATTTTCGGCCATTGTGTAAATTGCTGTTTAAGTTTGAGGAAGCATTGTGATTTCATGAAATCGAAGTAGAAAAATGACGAATTCAAGTTTTTCATCTCCCCGTATTCACATACCAAAATACAGCTATTATTCTTTGTTGGAGAACTTAGTCTTAACCTGATACATCACACTATAATCCCACGAGCACCAATTAGGTTCCATTGCTATAGAAGCAGAACATTAGGACTGTCATAGAGTATGCAATTCAATAGTGAGTCATTTGTTACTGAGAAGTGTATCTAGTCAATAAGACCTCAGCACTATTCGAATGTCCCATTAATGTCTTCTTTGAGAGCTTTACTGAAAATAGTTATCAGTTTTCCTTAATTTACTAGCAAGACTACAGTATTTTAGAGCAATCTGTGGGGTCTGTAATCGGTTTTCCCATTGTTTGTCAAACGCGTAGGAAATTCACTAGGCGGTGACGTTTACGAGTCATGAGTTTGCTTGAGCACTACCCACTTTGCCCAAATATGGGTTTCTGTTACTTAGCGAGTATCTCTTAGGAGAAATAATAAAGCTGAGGATTTCACTAATTTCGTGTTTATATAATCTCAAGCAGGACAGTTGCTTTCTGTCAGCCGAGTGAAATTACTCATACTCGTCGCATGGATTGACTTCAAGTCGGATCGTCACTAGGATATTTGTGCTCGTCGATTGATAGTTTTGTTTATAAGCTTTAATTGAAATGTACGACCAGTAATCAAACTATTCATGGTGTTATTAGTAGACACTGAATGATGGGAACGCTTTTGTTCCAATGACACATTGGGTATTGAAAAACGCTTTCATGATTACGATGATTCATCACATTGAATTATCAAAATACTTAGTACTCGCCTAACATATCTCCATATTCAAATAAATAGGAGTGTATATTTTACATTAGTTTATTGCTTATTCATTACCAGGGGACTTGAGTAGCTGATTGTTTTATATTCCTTACCTGTTTAATTTCTGAACAACTTCTGTATGCATTCAAAATTGTAACGTTTCACCTTTAGATTATGTCTATCAAATGACTTTTGTCTTGACTTCATTTTTATAGGAGTGACGGATCTGTATCTCAGACAGACCAGTCTGAATCTTCACATCAGGATGGTACTGTTGCCTCCAATTCACCCTCACTTCCAACCAGATCTAGAAAACAAAACATAAGAGAGGTATGTACCCACTTTTTCAATGGTATTACTTAACCATATACATAAACAACTAATGATTTCTCAATCAAATTTACACGTATATTTATATATGTATATAATCCTTAGTTATGTAAGAAGAAATAATTTATTTTGATATTCAGCTTCGTGAAGAATTCGAAGATTATCCTGAACTTTATGGTATACGCAGGTCTGCACGTAGTCGCAAAGAACCTTCACGTTTCAAAGCGCCAGCAAAAGAAGTATCTGAAACACGTTTCAGGGAGAGAAAAAGAAATCGTCTGCTCAGCAGCTCAGATAGCAATAACTTGACAGATAGTGAAACAGATGATTGGAATGATAGGATACCAGTAAGTTCAAATACTTCAGATTAACTATTTAACTAACACATGTGTGTTAACATTTTGATATACCCTAAATTTGAGAAAAGAAAAGGATATAAATAGTTTGTTTGTTCGATTAATGGCACATATGACATTCTTAGCTGAATTTATCCAGTAGGAAAGTCTTTTTGTTTTGATTTATAAAACGTAGATTTTCTAGTGAATAACTCTGTGCATAGGTTATCTGTTTAGTTATCATGTTAATAACTCAGGAAATGTTACTCTAACGACAGAAGATGAGAGACTTGGTAAAGGGAATATATGTGTTCAAACCAAGTTCGCTTTTAACAGTTTTAAGAAATTTGGGCATTGGGTATATGATATTCATTTATAATAAGGGCTTTTTCACATTTCCCAATGAATGAAAAACAAAATGATATTGTTTTCATTGACATTTCGCTATTCACTGCTTCCAACAGCTCTATCAGAGTAACAATATTAAACCAGGATTTAGAAAATCTCAGCACATATTTAACAAACTTAATCATCCATTGCTCCTCAACATGGGGTCATTTTTGCGTTGTCAATTTGGCCAATTGTCAAGGATAACAAAACCAGGTGTAGATTGTTGCGTTTGATAAGAGTATGAAATTATAAAATCAGCGTGCGTTTACATAATGAAATTACTGCTCACATTCGTGTTGATTTTGTCATTTCATGGGGGAGAGGGGTGTGTGTTGTAACCAGGTCAAATTCTGTTTTAGTCTATCATTCAGACTATTTAGACTATTTGGATTCCATCTGATATGAAGCGCTTCTGATTATATGAGACGTTCTTTGTGATTTCTGAAATTTTTCTGGATTCAAATGAACTGTCGTCAAGATTCGACAGAATATTTCTGAAATATTTGGGTGCCAAGTGAGAAGTAGACATTTGTAAGTTATATTTGTAAAATCTCAGCGAGATTGAAATGAGTAATTCCAACGTATAGTTCGGTAATCTGGTCCGAATTTCAGGGAAATTAATCGGAGTAGGAGAAATCACAAAGAACGTCTCATATAATCAGAAGCGCTTCATATCAGATGGAATCCAAATAGTCTAAATAGTCTGAATGATAGACTTAAACAGAATTTGACCTGGTTACAACACACACCCCTCTCCCCATGAAATGACAAAATCAACACGAATGTGAGCAGTAATTTCATTATGTAAACGCACGCTGATTTTATAATTTCATACTCTTATCAAACGCAACAATCTACACCTGGTTTTGTTATCCTTGACAATTGGCCAAATTGACAACGCAAAAATGACCCCATGTTGAGGAGCAATGGATGATTAAGTTTGTTAAATATGTGCTGAGATTTTCTAAATCCTGGTTTAATATTGTTACTCTGATAGAGCTGTTGGAAGCAGTGAATAGCGAAATGTCAATGAAAACAATATCATTTTGTTTTTCATTCATTGGGAAATGTAAATATCCTTATTATATTGGTAAAGGAATGTTTATTTAGAATATGATATAGAGGGACATTATGTACACCTTATTTCCAAATCGTCATTTGCACAGATCTTCCACGTTGTGCTACTTCTACCCCTCCTTCGTATTGTTGTTCTGTGTCTTCTTTTCTTATCTCCCATGTTTTGCTGCCACACTGGTTCATTCGCTCACCTTGACGTCAAGTCTCTCACTTCTATATTTGATTTTTTTATGCTGATGGAAGTCTCTTTATATACTACTGGTGAATCTTGTCAGTAGCACACGCGACATTATATCTTTTGGCTTAGTGTTATGCCCTTATTGATTACTATATATATATATATATATATATATATATATATATATATATATATATATATATATATATATATATATTAGTATTAGCATTGTCATAAGCCACGGGGTATTGAGTGCTCCTCAGTGTGACATAAAAAACCCATAACGTCTATCTGTTCCCTTATCTTTTTCTCTTTTTAAAGTCTGCCGACTTTTCTCCACTGAGTTCTTCTTTGACCCGATCAGTCAGTGGTGGTTTCTGTGGGAGTTGATTTATTAGAAGTTCACTATTCTTATTTAGCTGTTTAACATTTACTCGATTCAATTTATAATCGTCCGACATTAGTAGTTTTCCACTCACTGGATACATTATCATTTTCAAAACTTTAATCCAGAATATTTCCTTATAAACTATTTCTTATTTGTTATACTGTCTCAAGAACTTCAGCGTCAAAATTATTCAGTATGTTGTTTATTATATTTCGATTTCTAGTTAGGTCATGACATTCAGTAAGGTTGTATTGTTGGTGAAGATAAACTACTGTTACTTTACTTAATTCCTCTACGTTCCGAGTGGAACATCGGGCTTCAAGTTAGGGTCTTTCTTGAAGTTTCGGTAGCAGTAGTTTTTTTACCAGCCAGTTAGGGGGGGGGTAGGCTAGTCTCACTTCCGACCTTCCATCTTTAGCATTCTTATTACCGGCTTGACGAGGTTTAGTAGTGCATTTTCGGGGGATCGAACCCTGGACCATGTGGTTGGCAAACATTCCAATATTCTGGACCACTGACGCATGAAGATAATCTATAGCAGTCAACAAATGACTTCGAGCAAACAATCATTTTACTGGTCACGAGTTCAGAGTGTAATGTTTGCTTCAACAACCGATCCTATTTATCTACCTTTAACCTCTATGACGCTGGAACGGACAGTCAGCAAGTTAGTAAAACTAGCTAAATGATATTGTAATTATGAATAAAATATGCTTAATAAAGTGTTATCATATTAAACTGGATACTTGGTGGTAGTTTTGAGTAAGATTAAATTTAAGCTTAGGCTAGAGACAAGTTAGGTTCAAGTTAACCTGGTAAAGGAGATATTAGGATTAATTTGTGTTAGATTAGTGTTAGGATGCGTAGATGAATACATATATACAAATACATACACATATATAAAGAATGTGGTTCAGTTTCTTTATTGATACGTTAATCCAGAATTGGGAGGTAGAAGAAAGGTTTCCTTAGTAACAGTTTCCTACCGTTTCATTTATTATTTCCATAAATACGTGTATTTTATACTTAAAAACTGTCTTTTTCATGTGACTAGCGCGCTGAAGATTATTTGTGAGTTTAGAATTGAGGGATATATTAGGTTTAGGCGTAAGGGTTTTGAATAAGGGTTTAGGGTGACGCTAAATTGTCCTACTTATATAATAGCTTATACATCTAAATATACAATTTATCAACCAAATCAAGGAGTTTCTCACTTCTTTATCACTCGGTTTGTTAGTTCAAGTTCATTTAGGATGGGTGCTGTAGTTTATCTTCATCGTATTGTTAACATGAATAAGTTACTAGTGTTTATATTTATTCTTTCTACTCTTCATTTAGTGTAATTTATTCATCTTTTACTATTTCTATGATTTTTTAAGACAAAACACCGTAGTTTAAGAACGCGAGGAAATCGTGTCAATTATAAGAGTGCTTTTGTCGATGATAGCCTTGATGATGAATCTGATGGTGAACCACCATCAGAACGTTCAAATTCAACTGTATTCAGATCAGGAAATCAACGAACCTCACACGGAAGTGCACCGCCAGCAAGGTAAATAAAAAAATAATAGTAGTTATTGTTTTGTTTTGCTTTTTCTGCTTATGTCTGTGCATCCCGCACACATTTTCTTTCCTTTATGTGTTAGTTAGCTGTAAAAAGAAATATTTGTTATACTTGTTTGTTCGTTTGTTTGTTTGCTTGTTTTTTATTTACCGCAATTGTTTACTTGTTAACTTTTTTCTGGTTGACATTTTTTAGTCAACAGTCGTGTTTTCAAAAGCCAAGAGGTCCTTTGGTGAGGAAACCTTATGCGTCCATCTTGGCCAACAGGTTAGCGATGTATATGTAATCTCTATATATATATTTTGCTATATGTATATGAGTGTGTTGTGTGTGTGTGTGTGTGTGCGAGTGTGTGTGGAATAATAAACATTATTTAAATCACTTCTGTGTTATATATTTGCACGCAGATTTAATTATCTTGATTTCATCTCCTATTGCTGCTTAGTTTGATTTTGTATTCTGAACTTCGCTTTTTGTCTTTACTGATTTTGGGTGTCATTTTTCGCCTTATCATAATCATCATTTAACCCAATATTTTTAATTGAGTAGGAAAAATGTTATGCATATTAACACTTGATAATTTTCCATCAATACTTTTACATATTATTTTGTGGTGATTATTTTGAAGTGTGTTTGGTTTGGCTATTTGCATTTTTTTGCTTTCCTGTCATCCTACTGGTGTTAACATCATCATCATTATCATATCGCTTGTGCAATGTCTGTATGCAATTCTTATTATTTCATTTTCCCCTGAATTAAATAAGTAGCATTATTTCTTTTTTATTCTTACAAAATTTTAGACATCCTAAGTTAATATCAAAGTCTGAAGATGAAAATTTAGATCAGTTAGGCTTAAATGAACAATATTCAGAGGAAGATGATGATGATGGCCTTGTTGGTGAAGCAAATCCAGAATTAGAATGGGCTGGTGGAGATGATGAAGAAGCTGATGTCATTGAAGAAATTCTCAGTCATGCAATTCGTCGTAAAGGTGCCACGGGTAATCCTACCACACTGTATAATACTCGTCTTGAAAAAGATTTAAATGCTGATTTTGATCCTGAAAAAGAAGAGGGGGAATTACAATTTCTTATTAAATGGCGTAATTGGTCACATATTCATTCAACATGGGAAACTGAAGCTTCATTGTGTAATTCAGAACGTGGAGCACCTGTAGCTGGTATGAAAAAGTTTTATGCCTATCAAGCATCTGTACAAGAGAAAAATGAACGTTTACGCTATACTGAACGCGAAGATCTTGAGACAGTAGCTTATGAAGAAGAACGTGATGAACAACTACTACAGGATAAAATGAATGTTGAACGTATTGTTGCTCATAGCCGTGATCCTGATACAAATACATTTGACTATCTTATCAAGTGGTTTCGTTTAGACTATCGATTTTGTACATGGGAATCTGGAAAAGTTATACGTGCACTATATGAACCAGCAGTTCTAGCTTATGAAGCTCGTTGTAGTTCTACTAAAATACCTAATCGAAAATGTGAAGTGTTATATACACGACCTAAATTTTCACCATTATCAGAACAACCTGATTATCTTGGTCATGGAAGTGAACTTCGCCTACGTGATTATCAACTTGAAGGTATTAACTGGATAATTCGTGCTTGGACGCGTAGAAACAGTGTTATCTTAGCAGATGAAATGGGATTAGGAAAAACTATTCAAACTATTGGTTTTCTCTCGTATTTATTCAATGAACAAAAAGTTCATGGACCTTTTTTAATTGTTGTACCTCTGAGTACTATTTCAAGTTGGCAAAAAGAATTACAAACTTGGACACCAGAAATGAATACAATCATATACATAGGTGATCATGTCTCACGACAATTGATTAGAGAACATGAATGGGCGACAGGTGCATCTGGGAACAGGCGTAATCATTCATTGAAGTTCAATGTTTGTGTAACTACTTATGAGATTTTACTAAAGGATAAAGGTTGGCTTGGTCAAGTCAATTGGGCATTTCTTGGCGTTGATGAAGCTCATCGCTTAAAAAATGATTCAAGTCAGTTATACAAAGCTTTAAAAGCCTTCGAAACAAATACACGTCTTCTGGTTACTGGAACACCTTTACAAAATACAATGAAAGAATTATGGGCGCTACTGCATTTTATTATGCCTGATGTATTTCCAGATTGGGAAGAATTTGAACAAACATACAGTGTTTCTGCTGATGATCCAGCGAATAAAATGAACAGTGAAGCTTTTCATAATCTTCACAAAACTTTAAAACCTTTTCTACTGAGACGAGTGAAAAAAGATGTTGAGAGTTCATTACCTGAAAAAATTGAACAAATTCTCCGAGTAGATATGACAAAAGAACAAGCAAATATATACCGATTAATTCTTGCTCGTAATTATGATGGTCTACTCAAGGTGACTCGTGGACATAAAGCTTCATTTATTAATATTGTCATGGAATTAAAAAAGTGTTGTAATCATGCTCATTTGATTGCACCGCCTTCAGAGTCTGATGAAAAATATTTAACAAAAGAAGATAGATTAAGATCATTTATGAAAGGCAGTGGAAAAGGTACTTTGTTGGATAAATTGCTGCAGCGCTTAAAATCAAAAGGACATAGAGTTCTCATCTTTAGTCAAATGGTTCGTATGCTAGATCTTATAGCAGATTATCTGAGTCTACGCGGTTGGGGTTTTCAACGTCTTGATGGCTCAATCAGAGGTGAATTGCGTAAACAAGCACTGGATCATTTTAATTCTGAAGGATCAACAGATTTTTGTTTCTTATTGTCTACACGAGCTGGTGGTCTTGGAATCAATCTAGCTACTGCTGATACCGTCATAATATTTGATTCTGATTGGAATCCACAGAATGATCTGCAAGCTCAAGCACGTGCTCATCGTATAGGTCAGACTAAACAAGTTTCAGTGTATCGTTTTGTCACTCGAGAGTCTGTGGAGGAAAAAATTATTGAAAGTGCCACACGTAAAATGGTTTTAGATCACTTAGTTATTCAGCGTATGGATTCAGCAGGTCTTCGTGGAGGAAGACGTGGAGATACTGCCAAAGGTCAACTTCTTACAGAGATATTACGTTATGGCGCAGAAGGTTTATTCAAGCAAGTTGACGAAGATGCTTCAGAGTTAGAAGTTGACATAGATGATATTCTAAAACGAGCTGAAACTCGAGATACAGAAGCCACTGTTGAATCCAATCCAGCTAACGCTTTGCTTTCGTCATTCAAGGTTGTGAATCTAGATGCATTAGAGGAAGATATCGATGTTAAAAATGGAAATGATTCGTTGAATACTTCAACAAATACTGGTTGTGAAAAATCATGGGATCAAATTATTCCTAGTGAATTCCGTGGGCAAATAAAGGCAGAAGAAGCCAGAAAATCTCTAGTAGAACTAGAATTGGGTCCACGACGTCGACGTCCTGTGAAAGCTTTCCAGGCGGGTTTGGATTACAATCAGTCTAGCTCTGAAGCATCGGAAACAGAAGAAAACGACAAAGTTTCTTCAACCCAACTCACGGAGAAGGAGGTTCGTGCATTAGTGCGTGCTATCAGACATTTCGCCCGCCCCCTAGAACGCATCGATGCTATTGCTGCTGATGCTGAACTTCCCGATCACTCCGAAGCCGAACTTCGTGAGGTAGTGGATGCTGTCCTTAAGGGTTGTCGAGCAGCTGTGGAAGCAGCATCAACTAATGCAAATGAAGAATCACAAAAACAATCTGGCAGTAGTGGTAAAGGGCCAGTATTCCAGTATGGTCGTGTCAGTGTAGCAGCTAGGCCTTTACTTCAGAGTTTGGAATATCTGGAAACACTCCACCAATGTCTTCCTTCTACTAGCAAAGAAGCGCGTATGTCTTACGAACTACCATTTGTGCCTAAACTTGTCGCCTGGTCATGTCCTTGGGATGCTTCTGATGATGTGAGACTTTTAGCAGGCGTTTATGAGCATGGCTATGACAACTGGGAATCAATTAAACTTGACTCTGATTTAGGTCTGGGCTCAAAACTACTTCCTGTTTCACAGACAGAACGTCCACAAGTAACACATTTGCGATCACGTGTTGATTATCTCTTGAAAATGTTAGCTAAGCGTAAATCTACCACTGGGAATTCACAGCAAGTTAACAGAAAAAGAAAAAGGGAAGACAAAGAATCTAACCAAAAAGTTAAGGCACGTGGAGTTGTACAAAAGGCAAATATCAAAAGTAGCTCTAAGTCTGTTGTGCCAATATCTAATCAAGTCCCTAAATCTGCTGAATTTGTAGAAACCGATGACTCCTCATCTGAATCAGATGATGAAGAAGCATCAAATGTGTTACAACAAACCAAACATGTTCGAAAAAATGACATAAAACCCAAATCCTCTCAGCACCATTCTACAGTTAAACCCGAGAAAAAAGATGTACATACTCCGGAATCAAAGCCTACCATACAAGTCAACTCATCAGATGTGCGACCATTGTTTACAAAAGAAGAAGAAGAAGAGTTTCGTAACATGCAAGGTCCCATTTTTGTAAAAGTAAGTTCATTTTATGTTTTGCATCATGTTACCTAATAAAAATTTTAATTGTAATCAATAAACCTAACCTTTCATAACTAGATTATTAATATCAGTATTCCCTTGGCTTCCTAGTGAAACGGAAGGCTTCAACAACACATCTTCGCTTCGTCCTATTTTCTCTTGTCCTCTTCAGCTGGCCAGCTCCACGATTGCCTATAATCTCTATTCTCCTTCTCCACCTCACCACACGTTCTCCTCCATGTCGCCCTCGATGTGATGACCCACTTGAGCAATGGACTGTATCGCACTCAATATCAGTCGACAGCCTCCTCAGTGTATACCCAATCCATCTCTATTATTTTCTACATATTTCTTAAACATTCTGCTCTTGATTAGTTTGTTCCCAGCCAGAGTTTCTTGTTGCTAATTCTTTCTGGCCGGTTGGCTGGCCATTTGATCTTCAGTATGGAGTCAGCCAACCAGAGAAGGAGGCAGTCTAATTAGATAATCTTCACAATTCAGCTAAATGACTATGCTACAAATCTCATTTATTTTATTGTTATTTTGTACCTTTACCTTATAAGTAGAACATAGGGCTTTAAGCTAGAGCTTTGAAGTTTCGGCGGCAGTGGTGTTCTATTTTTTCACAGAAGTGGTATTGCTAGCCTCATGCATTCAACCTCCCCTCTTTGCTGGTTTTCCTACCGACTTAGTGAAGTTTGCGAGTGCGTGGGTCGAGGATTGAACCTCACCGGACCAGATGGTTGACGGACATTCTACAGCTGGACGACGGACGCTACAATTTGCCTTCCTAATTTTAAAATTATCATAATATTTTATGAGGTGTATTTTGAGTAAGTTTACTTCCAATACACATTAAGTTATTCATCTATTTCTAATGAACTATACTTCTCTTTTCTTATTTTTTTCTTCTTATCAGTGTAAAAAGAAATTTGTATCAATAAAAAAACACTTTAAAGAACTTGAAGATGTTGAAGAAGCCGATGAAGTAGATCCTTCGAAATTGGCTAGTGTTGTTCTACAGATCGGTGATCATATTCATTCTATTCTAGATGAATATACTGATAAAGAGGAACGTCATGCATGGAAGAAGTATGTGTTCAAATTTTGTTTTATAAAGAAGAGTAATTATTTTATCACGTTTTTTTCATCTTTATTTTTTATTAGTCTCATATGACTTGGATTAGTGTTGTATTGCCAATATTAATTTCTACATCCGTAATCAAAAGGTTCTAGTGTAATTTTTCTTTCCAGAGTTGTAGCTAATTAGTCTAAGCAGTTTAACTTTCAACGGCTAGGTCATAGATTAAGATTCGTGTTCCACCTACTTCAGTCTTGGCAACTTTGGTAGTCGTATCATTTAGTCCTCACACGATTAGTGTGTGTGTGTGTATTTGCACTGCTCAGTAGTTCGTTCCATTCTCTTTTATGGCTCTGGGACCTGGCCATTGAAAGTGGAAGATATGAAAAGGCCAACTAGCTGTCTTTGGTCATAAGTATCTGCATTCTGTCTCGCGTGTGAAGTGGTGCAATAAAGTGAGCGATATTGAGGTTAAGCTTCGGTCAAGTGCTAGGTAAGGAGGAGGGGAAATCAATAGACGAGGTTGTGAAGTTACTTCGATTGAGATGGTTAGGATATGTGTTACGTATACCCGGCCATCTCCTTCCTTGAGGGGCGATGTTAGCTGACATAGGATTGATCAGGTTGGAAAAGAGAGAGCTAGTGGTGGTCAGACCGAAATATGGCTTCACCAGTCAACGAAGTTCACAACAATAAGTTTCAGCCAGCCAGCCACGTAGGAAGGTGTATACTTCCTCGTTGGGGTCCTTGGGATGGTAAAAACCAATAGGTGATATGGCTCGACATTGTTCTCGATGATTGCGCAGATGCATCCACTCCTTGTGATCTATAATATTCAATAACACTATATGGTTCTTCCATATTACTATTCTTTTTGCCTCATATCTCTGTTTATTGTCTCTATCTTGCGTTTCTTTTTACTTTCTTCTCTTGCTTTGTTTGCTAAGTGAAGTATGGCGACATGAACTGCTGTACATCTGTGCAAACTTCTACGTTGAAACCAGTCAGCCACTTGTTGCATCCTATGTCAGTTCTGTGTAGTTCAGATTTTGAACAAACACTTTTTAGAGTTGTGACTTATTGGTCTAGGCTACCAACCTCTAGGTCATGGGTTCGAATCCTGCTTTATGTATAAAGGTTTGGGTGGCCCTTAGGAAGGTAATGTCATTGCCCCAGTTTCATTCGAAATTCAAATTGTTTAGTAGCGTACAACAAGTCTACCTTACAAAACCTATTAAGATCTCTAGCAGTCAGTGTTTGAATCACTAGGGAAAACATATTATTTCATACATTTGGTTCCCTTGATTCGTTTCAATAAGGGAGGAAAGACCAGACTAGCAGAATAAAATGTGATATCTTCTATTTCACAGATTCTCTTCATCAGCTGCTACAAATTACCCAGAATTAATAACAATGGTTATAAAAGTATGAATGACAACAGCATAGATAACTTAATATCAGGTGGTACAGAATGTTATTACATACACTTTCAATAAAAGCACCAGTGTCGCATTTTTTATCATTATTGAAGTCATACACTTTATCTGCAATTTTATAAGTGTTTTCAAATTTGATTTGGGATTGATTTGATATCAGTTAAAGAAGTATTGAAAATCAGAGATTACTGGACAATTGTTTCATCCTCGTTTTCAAGACTCTTCATCAGTATTCACAGTCGACGATCCACCTAACGTGGGTTGCACTCTCAGCGACTCCAGAATTCGAATCCGAAATGGGTTGGTCACTTGATCTAGAAGTCAAGGGCCCATGATTTAGCGCGCTAGATAGCCTAATGTCTTTGACCAGTATTTTGTCTGCACACACTGGATCTAGTGAGAGCGACTGAATGGTCACGACTTCGTACTGGGGAATTACAGAGAACTTCATACTGTAATCAGTCAGTGAGCATTGAATTAATTTCCAAGTTTTCAAGATATAATGCCGATCTGTGGTCATACTTGAAATAAATCAAATCTCTACCAGGCTTACTTATTTGAAAATCTTTGGCAGAAGTTAGAATTCATGAACCATTGGATTGGGTCCCAGTGGCTTAATGGTATATGAGCTCGCCTTGTAACCAGAAGGTCCTGGTCTCGGACCATGGCGGTGTGTGCGTACTGATGAAGAGTCCCAAACTAGGGTGACGAAACAGCTGTCCAGTACTCCCAGGCTTTCCAATGGTTCTCTAACCAATGTCAGCTCATGATGAAATCCTGTAAAAATCTTTTGTTGTAATTGTTTTCACGATGTATTCACGAAAAACAATAATCAACTTTACTCTGTCCATTTTCCATTCTCCCTGTAGTTACTTTTGGGAATTTGTGCATATATTTTCAAAGAATACAACAGAACAACTGCGTCATATATACAGGCGTGCAGTACGACATCGTTTGAAAGAGGCTAAAAGTAAACGAAAAAGTGATTTCAATTCAAGTGGTTCACCGAAAAATTATTTTACCAATTCATTTCATCACATGGATTATCCAGAGAATTCATCAAGTCGTCATTCTTCAAATCGTGACTATCCTAATGACTCGTATGATTCATCATATCGACGATATCACCATTCCAATAGACCATCACATGATCGCAATGAACGTCATGATCATCACGGTTTCAGTCATAACAGTGGACAGCATAATAAGTATAACAATGATTGGAGTACTTCAAGTTCACATAAAGATTTTAATCGTGATAAGTATGTTGTCTTTTAAGTCTGTAAAAAATTTTTTACTGTTGATATGATCTTGAAGTTTGTTTTTTTAACACATTTTATTCCTTTACGTTCGCAGCTAGAGCCAGTTTGAAGTTTCGGTAGGAGTGATGTTTATTTTTACGGGATGAAGTTGCTAGCCAGTCTTATTACTGGCTTAGCGAGGTAAAGAAGTGCGTCGGTCGGGAGTCGAGCCCCGGACCACCGACGTGGTCGTGGAGCACTCTACCTCTGTGCTACCGACGTGCCCGACTGACAACTGCTACCTTACCGTGGTGGTCGGGCTTGAATACCGCAGTGACCCAACAAACTAAACTGGCTGGGACTCATGTCCCTGCAGGTCCTACCATGTCAGGAAGGTTGTTTGGATAGCGGTTAGACTAAAAGCTCCAGAATCCAATGTGATCAAATGGCGTATGAACCCATATGGATCACCGACAACCATGGGAATGCAGCTCCTGACGCTGCTCCGCCACCTTGAGGATTAGACTCCAGGTCAAAGGCACTGGGGATGGTCCCTTAAGAAAATTACCTGCTTCGATCTGGACGCCCGGGCAGTATCTCAGTCCTCACACAATAAATGGAATAAAGCAACAAACTATCATTGAAACTCATCGCGCTTGTAACAATGATTTGAAGTAATAATGATGCCTCAAATAACTTATGTCTTTCCAACCTTACTTTTATTTTTATACATAGATTCCTGTAACCGACGCACCAATTATTATTATTACACATTTTATTTCTATTTTTCAGAAATGATCTACGCTTCAATAACGCTTTCAATCGTCCACCAGGTCATCAAAATAAAGAGAGTGGTTATTCTACTCAACTGTTTTCTTCCTCTCGGACATCTAATCATCAACATCATCACCATCAACAGAAACACAATTCCAGTTCTTCTACTTCCTTTTATTCCCGAAACTTTCCTCCAGATGAAATTAAAATTAATTCTTCTTCGCCTAAATTAGATACACAAAATTATCCCAGTCATCCCCCAGTTTTATCATCTTTTTCTGACAGTGTAACTAAAACCTCGCATTTTTCATCCAGCACCACAGGACAATATCCTTCTGTAGATTTACATTCCCCATTACAACAACAACAGTATCAGTCTAATAATCAAACGATTGTTCGTGATCCTCGATTATCTTCATCGAGAAGATAATTTCAGGCAGCAAAATAAACGACAATAATAATAATGTCAACAGCTACTACAACAACAACACCCACAGTGTGTGTGTCTGGGTGGTGTGAACAGTGTACATAAAATTGTTTGATTATAAACTTAAACGATTGTGTGTACAATGTAAATTTTTATTTCCGCCTTGTCATTTTCCAAGTTGTACTTATTTTATTTTATTATTTTGTAAAAAAGATACATGCATTTGATTTGATTGATAATTGTCTCACTTATCATGACGATAATGATCGTACATACACACAGAGGGAGAGAGAGAGTCCTGTGAATGTTTATACTTTAATAGTTTACCTATTTTATTTTGAATAAAGAAAGCTACTGGCGATTGTCCTCCTGATGGTGGTGACACATGCTCTTAACAGCGAAGTAAAAGAAATGGAAGGGTACACTAGAAAATTGGACAGTTTTTTTTTAACGAGATTGTGTATAACGGTGTGATTATGGAATTCTTCTTATTATTATTCCCGGCAGAAAAACCCCTTCTTGATTGGATCCTAGTGGATAGTCTCGTCTGAATGTGTCCGTTAGAAGAAGGAAGGACTGAGTTACCCGCCGTTGTTATTTTTCCATAGTCTCCGATTACGCCCCGACTAGACTGCAGTTCGGATGATTTTTTCACCAGAAACTGTGTAGTTTGCTGCAAAAAGCAAAACACTCAGTATAGTTGTTTTAGCAGGTGACCTTAATGCTCAAGTAGGGAAGTTATACCAGACTAAGAAGTATATAGGTGGTAAGTACGGAGTCCCCTACCGACGAACTGACAGCGTTGATCGTCTTCTACAGTTCTGTTCAGATAATCATCTGTCCCTAGTCAGCACTAACTTTAGATAAAAATAGACATTGTCTAGCTTGGTGACCTCTATCACCAAATCAACTCTGAACTCAAACAGACCACATAGCGATTGGGTCAGTGGGAGACAAACGCTCCTTCTGGAACACGTGCTTAGCCTTCTGTCACGCCCTGGTTCGCGCACGTTTATGCTTAAGATTAAACGGAAATTTAAAAAAAAACTGTTGGTAGCGAAGCAGTTACGCTCCGAACTAAATTGATACTGTCTGTCTGTCTGTTTTCGACATAGAACTTTGCACAAATGTGCGGAAGTTCAAGTCGCCACATTCCGTGTAGCACGCGAAGCAAGAGAAGAAAGTACAAGAAAAGCATAATAGAAACAGTGAGCAGAGGTGTGAGACACTGCGTCCCTATTTAAGGAAGAAATAGCGAAACGAGTATCTGAGGTCGTCAGCAGGACTCCTCCTGAGGAAGCCTGCCATAATGTACAGTTAGCTGTAAACATAGTTGTATGGGCTATTAATAATCTGAAACATAAAGTTAGTAAGAGCCAGCGGATTTCTGCTTGCTCATCGGAACTGATTAAGGCAAGAAGACTGATCCTGGCGAGCTCCAAATATGATGAAGAGCGAAAGCTGCTCAAACGCAAATTAACAAAAGGTCTTCGCAACGACCGTGAACAGTGGTAGGCGACAAAAGCTACGGAGGTGGAGAAGTCATCAGTGGTAGATAACACCAGACAAATATTTAAACTCATCTGGAAAAAAGATGGCGAATGATAAGTGAAACAATCTCCGAGAAAAATGACACCGTAATTAGCTCTCAGGATAGACGACTGGAACGTTGGAAAGAATACTTTGCTGAGAAATTTAATTGGCCTGCAGCCACACTCAAGCTATTCAACATCCAACACCCTAAATGGGATATAAATAGCGGTCTTCCGTCTTTAACTGAGGTTGCAAAAGTTATCACTAGTCTGAAAAGGAATGACTCCAGGTGTTTAAGGACGGTGAAGGTAGTTTACTGTCCTGTCAAATGTAAGACGACGCTACAAGAGTGGACTACGTTGACTCATTCCTGGCCTAAAGATAGGCAGGATTGAAGTGGTTATTGGAGCGTGCTGACCACTTCATTTATTTGTAAAGTTGCATCAGTCCCAACAGGCCGATCATTGACGAAATTTCAGCACGGGTACGGAAGACTCGTTTGTTATATGCCAGCTTAAGCCAACCCTAGCGTAGACGTGATATCCGGCTGGCTATCAACCAAAGGGCGTATGTGTTGCTCATTACTCCACTCCATCTTCCTTTATGGCTGGTTGTGAGTGAGACATGGCCGTTGAAAGTGGAAGATATGAAAAGGCCAGTTAGCTGTCTTTGGTCATAGGTGTCTGCGTTCTATCTCGCGTGTGAAGTGGTGTAATAAGGTGAGCGATATTGAGGTTAAGCTTCGGTCAAGTGCTAGGTAAGGAGGAGGGGAAATCAATCGACGAGGTTGTGAAATTACATCGATTGAGATGGTTATGGCAATGTTGGCTGACATAGGATGGATTACATTGGAAAAGAGAGAGAGAGAGCTAGTGGAGGTCAGACCAAAAGATAGCTTCATCAGTTAATGGAATCCACAACATTTAGTTTAAGCCATGTAGGAAAGTGTAAACTTCCTGGTTAGGGTCATCGGATTGGTTAGAATTAATAACGGCTGGAGACACTTGGTGATATGGCTCAAAATCTTCTTCGTCAATGGCGCAGATGCATTCACTCTTTGTGATTTATAGTATACAATAAAATTCTATTGTTCTTCAATAGTGCTATTCTTTTTGCCTAATATTTCTGTCTATTATCTCTCTCTTTTGTGTCTCTTTCTTGTCTTGCTTTGTGTGCTCCATGGACGGTGAGTGGCAACTCGGACTGCTACACGTCTGTGCAAAGTTCTATGTTGAAACCAGTCAGTGTGTTTTTGTCCCTAGGGGTTCCAAATGAGACATACATGTGTTCAATAGAACACCTCCATTTTTTTTCTCTTCAACTGGCCCCACGATTACCCATAGGCTGTCATCTCCTCCTCACAGGATCTCCTCTGTATCATGCCCAACTTGTCGTTTCCCAAATGTGTTGCACTCTGAACCTCAGTCAGCGTGTGTCCGATCCATCTTCATTTTCTTCAGGATATATGTTGAACAATAGGTTCTTGAATAAACCTATGGAATTTCAGTATAATTGAACTGTTTACTATACTATAAGCTAACTGATCGTTATTAGAACTAATTTATTTCTTAAGGGTAGACGACTGCGCTGTAGATAATCTAAGTTAGTGATGTACGTCATTTACGCGTGCATATTTACTGTCGACAATAAATTTAGGCGTCGGTAGATGGATGTAGTATTGAATGTCATTAAAAGCTGATAATTTCGATAGTTAATAATTAGGAAAGCTTGTTAAACAATCAATCCCTTTAGATGAAACGCGTGAGAATCTGGATAGGCTCACTTTAATGATGAAACGGGTGATCAGTCAATCGAATTTAGCTAGCAACCACTACTCCTTGATTGATGTGAGTGATCTCCGGCTACTTGTGTCAGTCACCATTGTTCATGTGAAAATGTTATAACACACTGATGTAATTCACTCTCAGATTTTCCCGTCGATTGATTGGACCGAAGTGCTCAGTTTCAGGTTGACATGTCGGCTTCTTGTGCAGATGCTTCGACGATGTCTGGGCATGTAATTAGAAGTTAATTGGTGGATAGTGACTAGCAGTGGAATCCAATCAGGATGTGCATTTCGTCCTATCTGGGACTCATCATCTGGTGGGAACATCATCACTCACTGCGGAATGCAGGTACATTCAGATGACGAGTCCAAAAATAGGACGAAATGCACATCCTGACTGAATTTCACTGCTAGTCACCATCCACCAGTTAAATTGTATGAAATCATTTACTTAAAAGTTTCGGTGACAGTTCTATTTGTCTCCACGTGTGTATTATTTTTGGGAGGTTTGATTGATTTTGATTACAAATTGATTTTATTTGGAGAACTACTGTGAACTAGTCGTTATATGATCTTCTATTTTCCTCTAATGAAGTGACTAGAAGAATGTGAAAAGTGATCGATCAGTAAGTGACGTGGTTTAATAGGATGAATAAAAGTAGAATTGTATGAGAATACAAAGGTATTTTGCTTTTCTGTCAAGTAAGTTCACGAGATAACAGAGCTAAGCGATTCGACACACACCCACAAGTTCCTTTTATTTACCCCTTTAGGGTTACTTTTATCTCAGAATTTCTTAATTCTTTCATCCTTCTTGCATCCATAGTATCCCATTTTATTGTGTTGAGTAGACTAACTAAACCTCAACGTAATATACCATGAATTTTGCCACATCTAGTCTCATACCTGAACAGCACATGTTTCCTCTTAAGAGTTCATTTGTTCTGGCTACTCCTGTGTGTGTGTGCTAGTTATTGGCATTATTGAATCATCTCATATCGTAGACACTGGGGTATTACCGTCAACCAGCTTCCATTATTCTCTCGCCCAGTTAGAGTTCCATAGGAATTCAGTTTTAATCTATCCTTCTCTCTGAATAACGTCATGGATCGAGTCACTTCCATTCCATCTGGCTGTGGACAAGTCTCAATGGATCTTTTTCCAATGTATGTACCCCGTATACGATTTCTAGAAACAGATTCATCTCCTAATCTAGATAAAAAATCTGCTAGCAATTTTTTTCCATAGAACCTGTGAGATAATGACGTCATCTGGCGAGTGCTGCTCATAAGAGTTATCAGTAATATGTAAAGAGACGTTCATCGGCATAAAAAAATTACATTTGATGTCAGAGAAAGCTATTGATACACCTTTACGGAGATAAATGAGAGAATTTGAACAAAGCAAGAACTACAGTTTTAGCAGAATAAAATGGTACCATCTTTTATTTCGTTGCCTTCTCGTCAGCTGCTTACATGGCAAAGACATTATTAAATATATCTACAACAACAATTTTAACATACTTGCATAGAGTTCAGTTTAAACAAAAATCAATCGATCAATATACTTACGCATACACTAAAAATATATACATATATAAATATGCAATATTAACCACTATTCCGAACAATAATAATCAAACACAATGGAAACTTTTAGCATTTCACATTCGGAGGAAAGAGAGGTGAAATTATCCAGTTACCAGGGCAAAGAAAGGCTGATAACCGCTTCTTTCTGGACGCATAAATCAGGTTTCATGCGCTTGATGGAAATGGCTTCAGCAAACTTAAGGAGAATTGAGCTATTTTGCTTATTGATTTATGCGTCCAGAAAGAAGCGGTTATCAGCCTTTCTTTGCCCTGGTAACTGGATAATTTCACCTCTCTTCCCTCCGAATGCGAAATGCTGAAAAGTTTCCATTGTGTATGATTATTATTATTATTCGGAATAGTGGTTAATATTGCATATTTATATATGTATATATTTTTAGTGTATGCGTAAGTATATTGATCGATTGATTTTTGTTTAAACTGAACTCTATGCAAGTATGTTAAAATTGTTGTTGTAGATATATTTAATAATGTCTTTGCCATGTAAGCAGCTGACGAGAAGGCAACGAAATAAAAGATGGTACCATTTTATTCTGCTAAAACTGTAGTTCTTGCTTTGTTCAAAT